CCTTCTCTCTCCTTTCTAACTTCTTTGCTGTGAAATATTTTCCTCCTTTAGTATCTGAGCAACTCCTATATTCTACTCATAGAATACACTTTCTTCTACTAAACATTTCTCTATTCACCACTTCCCCCCCCCCATCCCTTATCCCACACTCCCCATCCCACCCCTGACTTCCCAGAGCAAAAACAGGGTATAGCATCTAACAAACATATGCTAAAATAAACTAACAAATTATAAAGTTCAAAGCTCCCACATGTTCTTTAACTCCCTTTGCTCCAATTCAACAACCTCCCTTTTATAAATTCTCAAAACCAATTAAATTAAATTCATTCTTCCTACTTATATATATATATATATAAAACCTTTTCCTTGATGCATAATCAGATACTTTAGCAGTCTTACAAACAATAGAAATCATGAATAAATTCCATTTCTATACCAGAAAAAAAGAAAAAATTTTCATCTTAAAATCTTACACATTTTATCTCATATATCTTTTAAAATAATATAGTCTTATGTTAAGCATTTTAAAAATCTCTTAACACCTTTAAAACACTTATTTACCAAATATAAATTTCAGAATCTACAGGAGGGTATCTTTCAATTTTTCAATTAACCGTCTTAATACCTCTAACTTTTTAAAGAACAACCCTTAACTATCCAAAACTAATTATCAGTTTGCAATAAAATTCTGAGTTTAACATTAATCCTCTTCGCTTCAAAGGGTTAGACATCCTAAAAGCTTATACAATTTATCTCATATATCTTGTAAAATAATATAACCTTATGTTAAACATTTTAAAAATCTTTTAATACCATTAAAACACATATTTGCCCGATGCCAATTTCAAAATCCATAGGAAAATATCTTTCTTAATCTTCTGTTCTTCACTTCTTTTTATATTTTTTCCAATCCTTTTTTTTTATAAATTCTTTCAACAATCCCCCCAGTTTTATTTTGGAAACTTTTAAAATGGTGATTTGAGGTTGATGTTTCTGAAATACTCGCTCTCTTCTTGAGGTCACATTTTCTAACTTGAAATCCTCATTTTGTCTCTTCTTGCTTGTATAATCATTCAATCCATTTCTTTGTCCATATAGCCAAAATTTGTTGCCATAAAGATTGTCAGCTTGCAATAAAGAAACTATTTGTTGCTTTTCTGTCATTGGAATGGAAACGTCCACCAAAACCTTTGTTTTAGCTGTACCAGCCAGTCTCTTAATCCTGTCCATTTCCTGATCTTCCAAAAACAAATTCTTCTGAATAATTTCCTGCTGTCCCTCTAACAACTGCTTATAATTTCCCGAGCTATTTTTTGAAAAAGCCCTTTCGATTGTATTCAGCAGGGCTGAGGTAAAAAAGTCTAGAAGTTCTTGAAAAGCCTGGACAGTCACGGCTTGGGAATTTGCTGATTCACCAGCCCTGTTGTCAGCCATATTTCAGCTACTTTGTATTTATCCAGCTATCAGGACAACAATTCAACTTTTTTCCACACAGTATAAAAACCAGATTTTAGTTAAAGTCAGTACCAAATTCTTTTCCTCAATACCAAATTCTTTTCTGGCCGCTTCCATTTAAAACTTTCTCTTAGGGTGTAATCCAGTAGCTGTGAAATGTTAACAAGCCTTAACGAGCACTTTCCCTGGTAGTTTCCTCCTCCCGCCCTCAGGCGCCATTTTCTGCATATTAAAACAGAGTTAAAGTGTTACTTGCAAGTTTCCTTTTGTTTTCTCCTGATTTGCTCTGTCTGCTATCAAAGTAAAGATGTTAAAAGTCCCCCCGTTGATTTTCTGCAGATTCTGGTCGCAGCTTCTAGCTCCGCTTCAGCTGAGTCGTCTCTGGTCCGGAGTGGCTTGACAGGCTTCAATAGGGAGCCCACACCCTTTGCGCCCCAGGATTTCTCCTAGCACACTTGGGGGGCTCTACCCCCGCCTGTCGACTCTTCTCTCTCCCCTTTGCCCGGGGAGAGGGTTCCAAGCCTCCAGACAGCAGTTTTTCGGCTGTTCTGGGGCTTTTACGGAACCAGAGAACGGGTGCTCATAAAAGAGCGTCTTCAAAGCTTGCGGAGCCAGGCGAAGTCAGAGCATTAGTATTTCTTATATCCGTATTGGCGAACCTATGGAATGCGTGCCAGAAGCAGCACACAGAACCATCCCGCAAGAGATGCACGGCCTCGCTAGCTCCTCAGCCGCGTTCCTGTGCACACACACATACTGGTCAGCTGGCCTTCACGTGCGCAGATTGCCGAAACGGAGCAGTGTTCTGTCACGCATGCGTGAGACGGCACCCAAACTTCTGGGTTTATGTTGCACGCATGCGTGATGGCCAGCTGTTTGTCAGGTGTGCATCCGTGCCAGAAACTGGACGTTTGGGTGCCGGCTCACGATGCGTGACAGAATGCTGCTCTTCTGCGTTTTGGTGCTCCCACGCACACAAAGGCCAGCAAGGCTGCATGGTTTCTGGCACACAAGCCGGCACACATAACGTAAAAGGTTAGCCATCACTGCCCTATATTATGATTAACACACTCTGATGCTAAGGAGTTCTACTCCCCCTCCCCATCTAAAAAGAAATCTGTTCCAAATGCAAAACACAAGCAGAAGAAAGGAGTTTCACTTTCAGTTTTACTTTCACAGCAGGAAGCAGCTTTAATACAAAACACTTGAGCTAAGCTAGGGCCAGGCTCCTTCCTGTCTCCTTCTTGCTCACACAGCAAATACTGTTTCACTTTCCAAACAGCCCTCTGATGCTAAGGAGTTCTATTCCCCCTCCCCACCTGAAAAGAAATCTGTTCCAAATGCAAAACACAGAGGACAGGAGTTTCACTTTCAGTTTTACTTTCACAGCAGCAACCAGGGGATAGGATAGGGGAGGCTTCTGTGGGGCAAGGCTGAGGGAGTGAAGGGGATAGGATAGGGGAGGCTTCTGTGGGGCAAGGCTGAGGGAGAGAAGGGGATAGGATAGGGGAGTCTTCTGTGGGGCAAGTCTGAGGGAGAGAAGGGGATAGGATAGGAGACGTTTCTGTGGAGCAAGGCTGAGGGAGAGAAGGGGGATAAGATAGGATAGGGTTCTGTGGAGCAAGACTGAGGGAGGGAAGGGGAGAGGAGAGTCTGATCATAACTAATTTTCAAGCTCTAAGTGTCGATTTATCAAGCCCAATCACATAGTTTCATAGCACAGGTATCCAGCTAGTAAAGTAATATGAGCAATATGTCACTGAACCAGGAGATGGGTGGCAAATAAATGTGATAAATAAAATAAAAAAATAAAAAACGTAGCCATCAATTATCAAACTAAATTTAGAAAGATTAATCCAGCATTCAGAAACAAAGTGAATCAGATTAATAAAAAAAAGAATAGAATAAAAAGCAGATATTGACTTCAGGTATATTTTTCCGCCCAGGTTCAATATTCTTCATTTGCACCTATTCAATTCAATTAAGGCCTCCAGGAGGGGATGGTTATGCAGTTCCCAAACGAGTGAAGAAAAAGTCTTCCACAGTAGGCACCACATGCTTGAAGGCAGCTTTTGTCATGGCCTAGGCTCAGGGCTTAGACTCTGAATCTGATCTTGAAGAAGCTGTTTCAGCTGAGCCTGTGGAATGTCAGACTGGAGAAAGACACACTCATCAACTGAGGCTATTGTTCTGACCTAGGCTTAACAGAATCACGAAACAGACTCTTTGTCCTGAAAAAAACCCTTTTTATTTGGCTAATGTGAAGTCCTCGCATTCACATCCAGCAAAGTCCTGGCAATAAGCCTTTCGAGGATTAATTGCAACAACAGAACTTATCAGTCCTTAGTTGCCAGGCCGATAGCTTCCAGGCAGCAACGCTGTACAATGAAATACTTAGCAAGGAGACTCTGTGAGGCACGAACTCAGATAAGCAAATCTTCACAATAATAAACGAACTAATTGTCTCCTGTAAACACCACTCCCCTTTGGCTCCTTATTTATTCCCTATGGGAGGGGCCATTCAGCATCCACTTGTGCCTTTATTCCCAAGTTGACCCCTGTTCCTTAATTGTCCCCTTCTCCTGACAGCTCTGCACATGTACACATCAGTAACAGGCTCCAGCTGTTCTTCTGTCCCACTTATCTCCGACTCCAAAGGTAGCTGATAACTGTTGGGTGGCCCTGGCCCTATCTCTGCCTCTGATGCAGAGCACTCATCAGAGCCTTCCCCAGATTCCAGGACTGGCCCATGTTCCTCCCCAACTTCCTCACTGTCTGAGTCTGCTGCCAGCTCTGCTGGCCACTGGCAGGCCACAACAGCTATTCAAACACAGGCAACACCTGAGCAACACCGTAAAGCCTCCTGGCCCCTGCACAGGTAGAGAAGAGAGCAGAGCAGCAAAGGTCTATAAGATTCCTTGCCAAGAAAGGAAGTAAATCTCTTGATCATGAACAACTGGCTGCAGCCTTCTTTAAGAAGCAGCTCTGACCACACACTCTTTGCTGGAAACATCCGATTCCAGCTTTTGTGTGATGTCCCTGTTTGAAAAAAGACAAAACAAATCTTGAACCTCTGGAGTGGCTGACCATATTGACCATGCTCCTGGAACCCTGGATTGGCTTTGGACAATTCTTCTGCACATTCATATTTCAAAGCCAGCTGTGCTTTGTTTACATCCCGTTGTTCATTGTTAACTCTTCAGCCTTGAAGTAAAACTGACAGTCTCCAGAACAACCGTGTTTGAGTGTGTGTGATGGAAGTCTGAAGCAGGACAGCTTTGCCTAGAACACTCTAATTCCTGTCAAATTCTTTGCCCATCTTAAATAACTTATAACATGTGAAAAGTTATAAGCCGCCCTGGGTCTCCGGAGAGGGGCGGCATATAAATTTAATAAATAAAATAAATAAATAATAATAAATAAAGTAACAATTGTTTTTCTCACTCATGAAGCTACCAGTAAAATAGAGGAAGCAAGCAACCATGTTCATGCCTATTGGCATCCTTTTTACTGCACTTGTATCTAAAAGCTAAGAATGCACTTACCTTGCATTTGACCTTTTTCAGTTCCCTCTTCTTCCTCTTCTTCCTCCTGATCAATTTTGGATTCTGCCTGGAGTGTCCGGTTATTGTCCATGAGTGACAGAGAAGGAAGAGCAGAGGCCCCCATGGCTGCTGCTTGCATAACCGAAGGGTAAGGCTTCATTCCATGTTCAGAAAAGTGAGTGCTTTCTTCTTCCTCTGTCCGGGAACAAAAAGAGGAAGGACGCCATGCACACCAGATGGGTAAGAATGCTTCCAACGGAGCATTCTAGAGCAAAACACAGCAGAGTGTTGAGAGTAACTGCAGCCACTCACTATTTCTGCCACGGGAAAGGCCTCTGGCAGGTCTGCTCCCTGCCTCTTCAAGGGTTGCTTTGTGGTTTTGTGTCTATCTGGGACACAGATAGGCTCAGAACAGACACTGTAACTGCATATATATATATGTCTCTATTAAATCAATGGTGAAATTAACTTCTTGTTTGATAGGCAGTGCTATGTGGGAATAAATAGTTAATGTACAATTAATTGCTCCAACGCGAGACAATGTGAGACAACGTAACTATGAGACAAAGCCTACCCAGAAATAGGCAGCAATTCTTAACAATCAAAGCAAGGAAATATTTCAGCCAAATGTTTACTCCACCTTTATTTTTGGCCAATTCAAGATGTAGACTATCCTGGCCAAAAATAAAGGTGGAGTAAACATAAAATCCATAAAATCCATACCGGCCTCCCACCGCCCAGTGCGTTCACATAGAGCTGCCCTCCTCCGGGTGTCGTCGGCCAGACAATGTCGGCTGGCGGCCCCAAGGTCGAGGGCGTTCTCTGTGGCTGCATCGACCCTCTGGAATGGGTTACCCACCGAGCTCCGGACGGCTCCCGACCTCCGCACTTTCCACGCTGACCTGAAGACATGGCTCTTTCGGCAAATCCCCTGATCGGCTGTGTGATTTTAAATTGTGGGGTTTTTAATTTGGTTTTTGGTTTTAGTATTTTATCATGTTCTTTTAAGCCACCCTGAGTCCTAAGGGAGAAGGGAGGCATATAAATTTTGATAAATAAATAAATAAATAAAATAAGATAGACAGAAGAAATTAAATCATTTGGCTGAAATATTTCCTGTCCGATGCTCTGGCCTCTTGTTTTCTCACCACAACCCTCCTGTGGGATGGTTTGGACTGGCTACAGTGGTGAAGTGTAAAATTTGTTGCTACCAGTTCTGTGGGCATGGCTTGGGGGGCATGGCTTGGTGGTGGTGGGGTCATGTGACTGGGTGGGCTTGGCCAACATTTTTTTTACTTTTTTAAAGCATTTTTTTTATTACCGGTTCGGGCAAATAGGTAGTAAAAAAGTGCTTTAAAAAAGTAAAAAAAAGGTTCCAACAATCGTGCGGCACAGTTGTGATCGTCAGAACCTTTTTTTTTTTTACTTTTTTAAGCATTTTTTTACTACCATACTGGCCCCATGGCCCAACTACTTCTACTCAAAGGATTTGTTTCTACATTTGTTTACATTAATCTAAATGAGGGGTGTCAAACTCGCGATGACACATTGTCGTCAAATGATGTATCGCAACTTTTTTCCCCTTCGCTAAACCAGGGGTGGCCATGGCCAGTGCGTAACGCATCCAGCCCACGGGCAGTGAGTTTGACACCCCGATCTAAATGATTAATGTGAAGATATACCTAATCATGAGGGGGTACGATGGCTCAGCGGTTAAAGATGCTGAGCTTGTCAGCTGGAAAACAGACATCCCAGGGTTCAAGACCTGAGTGAGCTCCTGTTACCAGCCCCAGTTCTGCCTACCTAGCAGCTTGAAAGCATGCAAATTTGAGCAAATTAATAGGTATCATGTTGGAAGGTAACAACCTTCTGTGTGCCTTGGCATATAGTAATGCCAGCAACATGACCACAGAAAGGTTCTTTGGGCAATGCTGACTCCTCGGGCAAGAAACAGAGATGAGCCTAGAGTCAAACACAACTGGGCAGGGAAACCTTTCCCTTTATCTTATACCTACATTACTCCTCCAGGAAGGAGTCAAAAGGTTTATTCCATATTCAAAAAGAAGAAAGTCAACTATGCAGCAACCTTTCTTCTGTGACACAAGTTCTTGCAGGAGATGGCTAATGGCTAAATGAAATGAATCTGTGTGAAGCATGCCATTTCTGTCTCTTTATCCTTTTTCCTGACATTAACAGAGACCATCACTAGACTTCTCTTCAGAGGTAGAAAATTAGAGCCCCAGAGAGTTTCTTTAATAAAAGATGAAAGGAGTTTGCTCTTTTCCATGGGCAGAAAAGGCCAGAGCAGAAACACGCTGCTCCTTGCTGGCTGCAGTGCCACAGACCCACCAGCCATGAGGCCCTCCCTCACCGTTATCCAGATTCAATCCTTCCTGGTCGCCTTGAATCTTCTTTTGTTCTTCAAAATATTCCAGCACCTCAAGAGGCAGCTTCTCTCCAGGCATGCGAGGAGGCAGCAGAAGGATATGGTGGTTATCGTAGCCCTTCAGCATCCGCAAAATCTGCAGTCAAGACAGGGCAAACCATAAAGACTTTCTGGCACTCAGGCACGGCACTCTTAGAACAGATTCTAGCTGAGGATTTGTTCTGAAATGCTTCATCTACCTCAATTTTTTCTTATCTTAGAAATTCTTGTTTCTTTTTAGGACAATTTCTACAATCCTAGATGTCATCTATCACTTTTTTTCATGGCTTGGGACGCTCTAAGGGACCTTCTTATTCCATATGTTTCTACCTGCCTAGTTCATTCAGTAGGTTGGGCATAGGTCTCATCAGTCAAGGAATGTGCAGATTTATACCTTGTCTCTGGAAGGCGCAAACACCCAAATCCATTCAATTTAGTTTGGACTGATCCAAAGCTCAGCTTTGCACCCCCATCCAGGCCACGACTGCCTCTAGGGCACTAGGACAGGACATTCACAGCATCCGTCAGGTAACCCAGTGTGGAGATGTAAAGCTAGATATCATCATCATATGATACCTCACCTCAAGATCACCTCATCCAGCATCCTCATGCAGATATTCAATAGGAAGGGAGAGAGGACCAAGCTCTATGGCACCGCACAAAGTAGGGGTTCTGGGCTGGACTTCTTCCCTCCATCAACACCAACTGAAACAAACCCCGAGGAAGGAGGAGAACCAGAACAACACCGTGCCCCCAACTCCTGAAGCTAGTCCAGAAGTTTACCATGATTAACAATACTGAAGACCACTGGAAGGTCAAAGGAGCAAGAATGGTAGCACATCTCATCTCATCCTGCCAGAGGTCATCCAAGAGCACAATCAATGCTTTTTTAGTTCCATAATCTGACCTCAATCCTGACTAAAAGCAGTCCAGACAATCCACTTAATCCAAGATCCTCTGAAGCTGCCATGTGACCACTTTTTCCACAACCTTCCCTAAAAAAAGGAGGTTGGTCAGTCACCGATGAAAACTGTCCAGATAGTTGGGTTGAGCGATAGTCCCTTGAGGAGAGGATGCACCAGCACCTCTGTAAGCTATTGGAACCAGTCCCTCCCTCTGTCAACCCTGAAGCTGGCCTGGCTGAAGCTATCTTGGAGCTTCAGTGCTGCCACACTGGAGCTGAGGGATAAGGAGGGTGGATTAGAGATAGCTGAGGTTGTGTAGTCAAAATAAAATACTTTCTCTTGGGAACCAAGGACATTCTCACACCTGGCTGGAGGAAGGAGGAGTGATGTCACCAGGCCACCAGACAGTGCCTTGATTGGACCATGTGACTGATTGTTTTGGGGTTGAGGGAAAAACTTTTACTTTTAATTAGGTGAAAACCATGGGAACCTTTAGACTCGGTTTTCACCAGATTTGTGCCAATATGATATATCCAATAAAGCTTTTCTTTGAGGAATTCATCTGCCTTGGAATTTTGCTTTCTATTACCTGGAACCCTGACACCCTCAAGTAAGAATGAACCATCACTCAGACCTAATCACGTATCCCCTCCCAGGTGGCCTTGCAACCAGACAGATTAAATTCGAATATGAGAGTGGCTGATCCCTTTCAGACCCCTGCCCACTTCCTCAGATTCAACAGGATGAAACTTCATGCAGATAACTTTAAAAGACTTCACCCCTATAACCTCCACTGGTTCTACCCCAACACAGAGTGAATCCAAGCAACTATTCCATAAGATGCACCATATATTCCTCACAGCAACCTTGTAGGTGAATCCCACCATTAAGCCCACCAAGGAGAGATCAAGTCACCTGAAACTGCGGGGTGGCTGAAATAAGCGACCACCAAGGCTTTGGCCAGACTATGGAATAGGCCTTCCAGAACCAACCAAGCTCCTTCTGGAGTCCAGACCCTGTCCCCAAGCTGAAGTCCCCAAGACCATAAGCCTGAGGTAGTTCAGAGTTCATGGCCACCATAACATCCTGTTCCTAGTTATCCAGAGCCAAATGCATAATAGTGGTCATATATCTGACTGTCAGAGCTATGACAGGGTGTTCTGGATTTGGGGGAGATAGTGCTTTCTCCCTGTCTTAGTTAAGGAAGGAGGGAAGCTGGTACAATAGCAATATTGTTAAATACATGGTGCATAATTAGTTTAATTAAATTTAAATCCTCTGATCCCTTTTGCTTTTGGGAGAGTGGCCCCCAACCATTTCAAGTGTGGTCCTTGACTCAAGGAAAATTGCATAACTTATTCAAAGCTCTACAGGCATCGTGATACATTTCTGCATCCAAAGGACCTTTTAATTGCTGATCTCAGAATATCTTCTTGGAGGATTATTTATTCTTTTTTCTTTTAAAGTAGTTTTTATTGAATATAAATATTAAAAAAAAACATACGTAACATATACACAACAAACATTTATACAACATATACACAAAAAGAGTATAATTTCTTCTTAAGCATTTTTTCAGAGTGACATTCTACAATTCTACTTATGATATATTCCTTCACCTCTCCTTAATCTAATAACATTTTTTATTATATATTTAAATCAGTAATATTTCCCCCTATATTTTTTGTATATTTCTGATTTTTAACCAATTATACCAATTATTCCATATTTTATAATAGTCTGATTCTTCTCTTTCTTATAATTCTTTTGGTTAACCTATCCATTTCAGCGCATTCTAAAATTTTTCCTATTACTTCTGTTTCACTTGGTGTTTTTTCTTGCTTCCAATTTTTTGCGTAGGTTATTCTTGCAGCAGTTAATATGTGAATTGTGAGATATTTGATGTCCTTAGGGTATGATTTGTTAAAGATTCCTAATAGAAATGTTTCTGGTTCTTTTTCAATCTATGTTTTTGTTATTTGTTCCAACCATTTTTTGATGTTAGACCAAAATTTCTTTGCTGCCGGGCACGTCCACCATAAATGATAGAAAGTCCCTTGTGCCTTTTTGCACTTCCAACAAATCGGGCTATTTTTAGGTTGTATTTTTGCCAATCTGGTTGGAGACATATGCCACCGATAAAACATTTTCAGTTGGTTTTCCTTGTACGCCGTTGCTTTCGTTAAAATTAGGTTTACCTGCCAGAACTTTTCCCATTTTTCCAAAGGTATTGTGTGTTTGATGTTTTGAGCCCACTTAATCATCGTTTCTTTGACTGTCTCTTCTTCCAATTTATAGCATAGAAGAAATTTGTAAATTCTACTAATTAATTTATTTTCTGAATCTAATATAATTTTATCTATTTCTTGTTTTTGATTATAAATTTCATATGTTTTTATATGTTCTCTGTATTTGGATTGTATTTGAGTATAAGTCCACCAGTCTATTTCTCTGTGTAAATCTGTCTCCAATTGTTGTTTTGTCTTTAATTTGCCTTGATAGTCAATTATATCTTTATATGTAATTATTTTTGTCTTCTCTGTTAAATTTGGGTGCCTAATTGATTCTGCCGGTGCTAGCCAATTTGGTATCTTCATATAATGTTGTTTTTTAATTTTAAGCCAAATTTGTAATAATGAGTTTCTTATTGTGTGTCTTTTAAAATATGAATGTGTTTTGTATTTCTCATCCCACATAAAGGAGTGCCAGCCAGTTTGGAGTTCGTGTCCCTCAATTGTTAAAATTCTAGAGTCCTTTAATTCTATCCAATATTTGACCCACGATAGTACTGCTGCTTGGTAATATACCTCCCAGTCAGGGAGTGCAGCTCCTCCTCTATCTTTTGTATCCTGAAGCAGCTTAAATTTTATTCGTGGCCTTTTCCCTTGCCATATAAATTTAGATGTTATTTTATTCAGCTTTTCAAAAAATGGTTTATCTATTTTAATTGGGGTGACCTGAAACAAATATAAAAATTTAGGTAATATAGTCATTTTGATGGCCGAAATTCTTCCTAGGAATGAAATGTGTAAATTTTCCCATTTTTCTAAGTCTTTCTTTGTTTGTTCTAGTAATTTATCATAATTGTTTTCTTTAATGGCTGATGTTCTTGTAGTTAACCAGATTCCTAGATATTTCATTTTTGTTGTTGTTTGGATTTGTATATTATCTGTCAATTCTTTTGTTTGGATTTCCGTAAGGTTTTTTACAATTAGCTTCGATTTACTTTTATTGATTTTTAGTCCGGCCACTTCTCCAAATTCTTCTATTTTTTGGAACAAATTAGGTATAGATTCCATAGGATTTTCTATCAAAAACACTAGGTCATCAGCAAAGGCCTGAGCTTTGTATTCTTCTCTATTGATCCTTAAACCTTCAATTCCTTGGTCTTCTCTAATTTTTTTCAACAGGATTTCCAATGATAGAATATATAGTAAGGGGGAAAGTGGACAGCCTTGTCTGAGTCCTTTTGTTATATTAAATTTGTCTGTTATATCATCATTCATAATTATCCTTGCTGATTGCTTGGTATAGATTTCTGCTATAATTTTCCCAAATTTTTCCCCAATTTGCATATTTTGTAATTGTTCAATCATAAATTTCCAATTTTGATTATCGAAGGTCTTTTGGGCGTCAAGAAAAACCAACGCTGCCTGCTTCTCTGGGTGTGATTCATAATATTCTAGAGCATTAAGTACTATTCTCATGTTGTTCTTTATTTGGTGTCCCGGCAGAAATCCATTTTGGTCTGGGTGTATATATGTATTTAATACTGATTTAATCCTTTCGGCCAAGATTGCTGCAAATATTTTGTAATCGGCATTCAATAATGAAATAGGTCTATAGTTTTGTATTAACTGGAGATCTGTATCTTCTTTTGGAATGATTGTTATTATGGCTTCTGTCCATGAATTTGGTATTTTGGCTTTCTCCATAGCTTCATTATATAATCGCAACATATTCTCTCCCAATACTTCTTGCATTGTTTTATATATTTCTACCGGTAGCCCGTCGGGTCCCGGTGTTTTATTGTTTTTTTGCTTTTTCAGTACTTCATCTAATTCTAATTTGGTTATTGGCCTATTGAGAGTTATTCTTTGTTCTTCTGTGATTTTTGGCATTCCTGATTTCCCTATGTACTGTTTTATCTTGTCTTCCTTTATTTTCCCCTGATTATATAAATTCGCATAAAATTTCTTAATAATTTCTTTTTTGACCTCTTTACTATGTTGAATTTCTCCTTTATCGTCTTTCAAATGGTATATCGTTCTTTTTTTCTGTTCTTTTTTCAGTTTATAGGCTAGTCATCTGCCCGTTTTATTTGCGTGTTCGAAATAATTTTGTTTCGTCATTTTTATTTTTTGGGCTAGTTCTATTTGGTTTATCAAATTCAATTTATGCTTAATCATTTCCCATTCTTCTCTTATTGTTTTGTTCTGGGGCTTTTTCTGGAGTTTTTGTTCTATTTGTTTTAGGTCTTTCTCTAAATTATCTAATTGTTTTTTCTTCTCTTTATTCTTTTTCCTCGTATATGCTATTACTAGGATTATTTATTCAATAAATACTTTGGGTTATTCTTAACTGGCACAGAAAGCTCACCCGCTCTTCTAGAAGATACTGCTGATCAAATTCTAAGGAGTAGAACTCAATAGGGAAGCTGCAGGGGTTCTTCACTACCACTTCAGCTTCATCCCCAACACCATAGGGAAGGAGAGGCCCCAGTTCAAGGAGGGAGGGGCTGAATTCAAGACGTGGCTCCAGACCTTGCCCAGAGACATTCAGCAGCAGTTGCTGAGTGCTCTGCGAAATGCTCAAGATCAGGACACTGTGGTATAATTTCTAGAATGTAAAAAATAATATCATTTTATTACAAATAAGAACAGGTAAAAAGGCCCCCAAATCATCTAAACCCAGCAGCCTCCCAGCTTTAGTTGGTAGTATTTGTTCAACTCAGAACAGCAGGACAGATTTGGGTTCTGTCCTATTGAACAGAAATACAAAGAGTTAACCCAAAAGATTTGCTTTCTATCTGGACTATTGGTATGTAATCAGTGTCTGGCCAGTCACTTTGGGGTATCGTTCCCTTCATAGCGCTTGACCTCAGAATGGGGACCCCAGCTGCTCTTCCATATAAAGCCAATTTAAGAGCAGGAATGGCATGTGGGAAGAATCCTGGCAGGGAAGGTGAGGAAATATCCAGGCACGATGCCTCCTTAATAAATCTACTTTGCAGACTGACTGGTTGGCATCGCAGCGGGACAGATATGGAATAGCGGAGCTCCACGGAGCTTCACGAAACTCAACCTATACCTGCCTGCCAGGAGACCCTACGGAGCCAAAGGCACCCTGAAGAAAGGAAGGTGAAGAAAGGAGGGCCGCTTTGTAGATCACGAGAAAACAGCAGTTTCCTCGTTTGATTCAAAGAAACCCTCCAGGTCAGCAGCAGACAACGGCCATTTTGGCAACACCAAAGCTGTGACAACCATGATAAAAAGATTATGAGTTGGAGCGATTTATGACAGAGGATTGAAACTGGGTGAGATGATTTTCAACTTCTATATTAGAGACTTAAAGCCAAATAAAAACATTTGTCAAAAACTAAGAAAGCAGTGATTTAATACACAGAGAAAGATTATGCCTAAAAGTGAAACAAATTTTTGGTTCTAAAGCTTTAAAATATAGAAAGTCTGGACTGGACCTGGTAGTAGTATGAAAAATGACTTAAATCACTGTTTAATTATTGAAAGAAATCGTCTAAAGAAAAAGGAATCTTGGGTTTTTTTCCCTTGAATTTTTTTTCTGACAGTCAGCTGTTTAATGCTAGAACCTTGAGCAGGGGTGTCACCTACTGGCGAAAGAAGATATTACACTAGAACACAGTGGGAAATGAATGACCTTGACAGTGAGGATTAAGTGATAATATAAGAAAAATAAAGAGAACAAAGGAAATAATGAAAGGCAAGTAACACCAGGAGGGCCTTTTAATTTTGGTTCCATATCTACTGCTGTTTTGGTGGCTTGGAAGTACTGAGTGAGCATTTTTTCCCCAAAGTTTTTTATTTTTATTTTTTATCCACATATTTAAATGTACAGTCTTTTGTCCATCATTAATCATTATTCATTCATCTTATTTTTTAGCTTCCATTTGCTAATTAGTTGTTTGGGTCTGCTCTTCTACCATCTCCTTTTATTTTAATACAACCTTTCCTTTTCTTCTTTCCTTCTCTCTCCTCTTCTATCTCTTTCTACTTTCCTCATTACTCCTCTCCTTCCCTTTTCTACTTCCTCACCTCTCTCCCCTCTCCTCTCTTCTTCCTCCCTTTCTTGCCCTCTCTCCTACTCTTCTTTTCCCCTTCTTTCTTCCCTTCCTTTTCCCATTCTTCTTTTCTTCCCTTCTCTTCTCACCTCCCAACTCCCCTCCTTCCTCCTCTCTACTCCTCTCCCCTTTTCCACTCCCTTGTTGTTTCCTTTTTCAATTCAATCTGAGATGGTATTCGAGCAGCCCCGATTTCTATTCACATACATCTTCATTTCAAATTTCTTTTTTACTTTATAATTATATCTCTTCTTACATTCCTGTACATTATTAATCAATCCATGTATCATCTGGGTATAACATTTTTGTGCCATCATCTTCATAATTTATCATCATTTCTTAATACATACATTTGTCTTTCCTTTTTCATTAAATTTTATGTACAACTTATTCATCCCAAAGTTCTTATCTTTACCATGTTTATTGTCTATACTCACTTTCTATCCATTGATAAAATTTCCCCCATATGTTATAATACTCCGTCTCTTCTTTCCCTTTAATTGCCAATGTCAACCTATTCATTTCTGCACATTCCAATATTTTCTTAATTACCTCTCCCTTTGTAGGAATTTTTTCTGCTTTCCAATTTTGTACAAATACAATTCTTGCCACCGTTGTTACATGTATTATCAATATATGTGTTCTTTGTTGTACTTCTCTGAAAGAATGCCCAACAGGAACAATTCTGGTTTTAAGTCAATATGTTGTTGTGTCATTTTCTCTAGCCATATTCTAATTTTTGCCCAATAGTTTCTTGCTTCTGCACATGTCCACCACATATGATAATATGATCTGATGGCATTTCCAACATTTAGCTGATTTATCTTTAAACATTTTTGCCAATCTTTCTGGTGGCATGTGCCATCTATAAAACATTTTATACAGGTTCTCTTTATATAGGAGCCTGAGTGGTGTAGGAGGCTAATGTCTCCTACTAAGGCAGCATTTAACATCCAGCTGCCTGCAATTACTGCGAGTTCAATTCTCACCAGGCTCAAGGTCGACTCAGCCTTCCATCCTTTCTAAGGTGGGTAAAATGAGGACCCGGTTTGTGGGGGCAATAAGCTGACTTTGTATAAAATATACAAAAGTATGAAAGCTATTGCTTAACGCATTGTAAGCCGCCCTGAGTCTCCAGAGAAGGGCGGCATATAACAATAAATAAATAAATAAATAAATAAATAAATAAATAAATAAATGCTGTGGCCATTGTTAATTTATAATTTCTTTCCCATGGTTGCTGCCATTTATCTAGCTCAATCGTATAGCCAAATTTTTTTGCCCATGCTATCATTGTTTCTTTGACCTGTTCTTCTTCTAATTTCACTTCAAGTAAATAACTATTCAATTTCTTAATCATTTTCCCCTCAGTTCCTGTGAGTATCTCATCCAATACTGTCATTTCTAAGTAAAAACCATATAGCTTTGCATCTTTTTCATATCTCGATTGTATTTGCAGCTGAGTATACCACTCCATTTCAATCCCTTGTTCATCTAATTCTTGTTTCGTTTTCAATTCCCCTGTTGCTGATAACATATCTTTATATCTTATAATATTTCTCATATTAATACGATTTGGATGTACAAATGCTTCCATTGTTGAAAGCCATGTTGGTATTTTCAAATAATGTTTCTCTCTAATTCTTTCCCATACTAATAATGCATTCCTCACATAGTGCCTTTGAAAATAGCTATGCATCTTGTTCTTCCCATACCATAAAAAAGTGTGCCAACCCAGTTGTAGATCATGCCCCTCCAAAGTTAATAATCTTGTGTTTCTCAACACAATCCATTCTTTTATCCAAGATAATGCTGCTGCTTGATAATATAGTTCCCAGTTTGATAATCCAAATCCTCCTCTTAGTCTTGCATCTTGTAACATTTTCATATTAATTCTTGCTTTTTTCCCCTGCCATATAAATTTCAATATCATTTTATTCAAGTTTTCAAAATATTTCTTTTCCAATTTTATTGGTATTGTCTGAAATAAGAACAACAGTCTGGGTAATATATTCATCTTAATTACTGCTATTCTTCCCATTAATGATAGTTGCAATTTTTCCCACTTTCCCAAATCTGTTTCGATTTGCCCTTTCAACTTATAATAATTATCTTCTTTGATCATTGCACACTTTGCTGTTAATTGTATTCCCAAAAACCTTACTTTTTTAGTAATCTGAATGTCTAATTTCTCCATTAATTCTCTTTTCTGTTTCTCTGTGATGTTTTTCACCAATATCTTTGTTATTTTCAATCCTGCCACTTCTCCATATCCCTCTATTTGTTCTATCAGTTTGAGTCCTACTTCTAACGGCTCCTCTAGAATAAGCACTAGGTCATCAGCAAATGCTTGTAATTTATGCTCTTCTTTTTTAATTTGTGTCCCTTTTATCTCCTCATTTTGTCTTATATTTCTATTTAACATCTCTAATGTCAACACAAATAATAATGGTGATAGAGGACATCCTTGCCTTGTTCCTTTCATAATATTTACTTTCTCTGTCATATCTCCATTTATTATTATTTTTGCAAATTGTTTGTTATAGATTGTCTCAATCATCTTTATTAATCTCCCCCCAAAGTCCATAGTCTGTAATTGTTTTGTCATGAATTTCTAATTCACATTATCAAAAGCTTTTTGCGCATCTAGAAACATCAATGCCATTTGTTTTTCTTGGTATGCTTCATAATATTCTTAAATATTCAGAATCATTCTCATATTGTCTCTAATTTGTCTTTTTAGTAGAAAGCCATTTTGATCTACATGTACAAAATCATTCAACAACCTCTTCAGTCTATTCGCCATTATTGATGCAAATATTTTATAATCCTCATTTAACAAAGAGATCGGTCTATAGTTTTTAATTTGTTGTAAATCTATCCTCCTTCGGTATAAGAGTAATATACGCCTCCATCCACGAGTCAGGTATTTTTGCATTTACTAAAAGGTCATTAAACACTTCCAGCATCATATTACTAAGCACATCCTGAAAAATTTTATACAATTCTGCTGGTAACCCATCTGGACCTGGTGTTTTGCCATTCTTCTGTCCATCATCGTTATTCTTCCCTCTAAGGCCTCCTTATATTCTTCTGGTATTTTTGGTAAATTAGACTTTTCTAAATATTGTATAATCTTCTCTTCTGATACTGTCTCTTGCTCATAGAGTTTCTTATAATATTTCTGTACCACTTTTTTCTTCTCCTCATTTTGGTAACACATCTGTCCTCCCTCATCTATTAGTTGATCAATTAGTTTTTTCTCCTTCTCCCTTTTCATTTTATATGCCAACCATCTACCTGGCTTATTAGCATTTTCAAAAAAGTTTTGTTTAGACATCTTTATTTGATAAGCTAAGTCTTCTTTTTCAATTGCTGAGCACACTGTAAGCCGCCCTGAGTCTTCGGAGAAGGGCGGCATATAAATCAAATTAAAAAAAAAAATAATTAAATTCATTTCATGTTTTTTCAAATCCATTTGGTTTTTAATCCTCTTTGCGTGTTTTTTTGTAATCCCATCTCC